GGTTTGTTAGTTTAGGGTTTAGGGTTTAGAGTTTAGGGTTTAGGGATTAGTGTAAACACCTGAAGCCCTACCGAACACCGAATACCCAATGACTCCCGGACAGAACCATGAAAGAATCCTGAAAGGAGCCCTTCACGGAACCTTATATGGCGAATCCCAGAAAGCTGGCACATAGGTTTAGGAGGATTAGTGCCAGGATCCCTCATTTTTTGCCTTAAGGGCATGAGGATAATCATGTTCCAACTTTCTGGCTTCTACTGTAAACCCCAACTCGGTTCCTGAGTGACCCCTAATTAATAAGGGTACCCTTTTTCCCATTATTCAGTGTTAATGGGGGAACCATACCATAAAAAGGGAAAAAGGTACTACTAAACCCTAAACCCTGAATCCTAAACGGAACCTCTGCAAGACGTGCGACGGCGCGACCCAGAGCCGATCTCAGGGCCTCGCAGTAAGGACGAATGAGGGGTTCCGCTCAGGGCTCCTCTATAAGGGTTCCGGGAAAGAGGGCGGTTTAGATTAGGGTTTTTTACGGCGTCGGTTCTTGATGAGGGTTTTTGGGGTGTTGGGATTTCGGTTCTTGTTTTAGGGTTAAGGGGTTTAGGGTTTTGCGGTTTTGGATTTAGGTTTTGCTGGGGGAAACCTGGGTTTCAGGGCTTATAGGGGACGGATGAGGGTCTCAGAAGGCTTGATATCGGGCGCCATAGATTCGCTGATCGCGGATTTCTGGTGTCGTAGTAGGTTTTCGGATGTGGAAGCAGCAACTATTGAAGGCTCCCGTAGGGTTCAGAGTTGGGGGCCCCATGAGGTTTCGTGGCCTGCAGCCCTCAGGCAAAAACAGCCTGGTCTTCGAGGGCAATCGCCTCCTAAGCCCTAAATCTCTAAACCCTACCTGTGGATCCAGCAACTCTTTCAGGGCTAGCGCCACACTTAAGGGGTTATAACCATTATGACCTACTAGTTTGTGGGGCTTGAGATACGGCTCCAAGTAGCCCAAAAGCCTTTGCAGTATGATCTTTGGGCCCCAAAGCCCCTTAAAATATGAGTCCTTCGAGCCTTGGGATATACAATTTGCAACGTTGGCCCCAAAGTCAGCCTTCTGATCTGATCCGGCCTCTGCTTTTTCGCCCGCTTCCAAGCGACGACGGCGCAATGCGCTGACAAATGCCTGGCACTGCCCTACATCGTTTTAGGGTTTAGGGTTTATAGGGGTTAGGGTTTAAGCTTTCGGACTCGTATGTTAAGGCTTCTGGACCCCAAGTAGAAGACTTTGCAGCCGCAGAATAACCTGCAGCGCAAACACAACAGACTACATGCGGAGAACTCCTTACAGCGACTTTCTTAGAGACACCACCAACTCAACAGATGGAGCTGTGTGGGCAACAAGTACAAGCCAAGTTATTACCTGTGCCCCCCTTCCAGCTCTCTCGAGAGAGAGAAACAGACAGAGAGATATACATATACATATATATATATGTATAGGTACATACATGTACAGACAGACAAACACTGCATGAAAACTACGTACTATACAGAACCCTCAGGTTACGGTGAGCAAAATAACAAACACATCTATGCCCAAAGCCCGCAAACCTTGAACACACCAAACACAAAACGCCAAAGACCAAAACCCTGCACTGAACCCCGAAACCCTCCACCCCAGAACCCTAAACCATAAATCCCAAAACCCCAAACTCCAAAACCCGGACCGCTCGACCCTAGAGTCCTAGAACCCTGAAGGTAATGCTGAAAAGAACCACAACGGTTTAGAGGAGTTGTTGTTAAGCTCCTTTTTCCGACTGCCAATCCCGTCGAAAGGCCCAGAGACCAGGAGTTCAGGTGCCAGCACCCTGGGGTTTAGGGTTTAGGGTTTAGGGTTTCCTCAACCTCAAACCCTCAAGCCCTAAACCCCTACAGCCTTGCAGTCCTGTAAGGAACCCTACATCCCTCAAAACCAAACTAACACCCTTACATAACCCTCAACCCCTAAAGCCCTAAAACCCCCAAAGCCCTGAACTATAGAACTCTTCAAGAACCCCTTAAGTAGGTTCCTGAGTGACCCCTAACTAATAAGGGTAGCTTTTTTCCTGTTATTCAGTTTTAATGGGGAACCATACCATAAAAAGGACAAAAGGGTACTACTCGGGAACCTAGTTAAGGAACCCTAACCCCTACTGTAAACCTCGTCATCCCTCTGCGCTTGCCTCGGCCTCTGAGGTTTCCGCGGTTTCCGGTGCCTCCGGAGCCCAGGAAGCACTTCGGGACGAGGCCTCTGCTTCTTGTGCTGTCTGTGGAGTGGGTTTAGGGTTTAGGGTTTAGGGTGTAGGGTTTAGGGTGTAGGGTTTAGGGTGTAGGGTTTAGGGTTTAAGCTGTAGAGATTTAGGGTTTAATTCGGGTATAGGGTTTTGGGTTCAGGGTTTAGGGTTCCTTTTGGGATCAGGGTGTTTCGGGCTTCGGGCTTTTAGGCTGTAGGGGTATCGGCTTATTGCAAGGTTCACCGCTTTGCTACAGCGTGTCGCGTTTATAGGGCTTGGAGGGTTGAGAAGGTTGGTGAAGATCATAGGATGTTAGGCTGGGGACCTAAATCCTAACCCCAAACCCTAAACCCTAAACCCCCAACCCTAAATCCCAAACCATGAACCCCAAACCCAAAACCCCTAAACCCCACCTA